TAACTTTCTTTTTTTTTTACAATCATATTTGGGCAGTATAATCCTGGTTGCTTCATTTCCCATTGTACATGAAGAAATAACTGTACTTGTAATTTTATTGATGATTTACTATGGATTATTCTCCATGTTGGTTTGAGAAAAAAAAATGCCAAGAAATTGGTCACTTTCTTTTGTTGTCAAGTGTTGGATGTGTTCAGTTTAAAGGAGAATTTCAGATTATTCAGTTGTTGATAGGTATCACTTCAACAAGAGTTGGCACTTGATTAGGCTCTGCTCTTCAGTTTACTTTTTAATATTTAAGAGCAAGATGAGACAGAATATAACCAGTGATAATCACATTTGTCAAGATATTTAGACTTCTAGGCTTCCTCATTGCTGGGCTATACCTGTATTTAGTTGGGTATTACCCCTTTGTCCCTTGTTTGCCTCTGGTAACATGTGAACAATATTGTTATCCAACTTTGTATGAGTAGGGAGTATCAGTGAGGTAGAGCAAAAATCAGATCCTGAGAAACAAGGTGATATAGCAAGGCACTATTTAAACATGACAACTTGAGAATGTATTTGATTAGTATTAATGTTGTATAACATCAAACTTGGACTCCTTTCTTGATTCTACAGTAGGACTTAGTGTGGAGAAGAAATAGTACCACAACTGACTTTTTCATCAACATAAAAGATGGTATTTTTGAAGAGATTATAATTCATATTTCTCCTCATTTGTCAAAGGGAATAATTTGTATCATCTGTATTTGTGAAAGGGGGTATAAGTAATTTAAACCATAAAATTTTAATTGCTGAATTCAAAGATATAAATTTACTAGCTTTGTGAAGATACTAAGACTTACTGCCTCTGTGGATTGAGTGCCCTGTCTCTCTTTAAAATTTTGTTTGACCGTACTGGAATTGAATTTATGATTTTCATAATGAGCTACTTCCCCAGGTCCCCACACCCTCCCTGCCCCCTTTTATTTTGAGAGAGTCTTGCTAAGGTATTAAGTTGCACAGGCTAGGCTCAAACTTGGAATTCTTCCTGTCTCAGCCTTACAGAGTGCTGGGATTACAGGTTTGTGCTGCCATGCCTGGCTCCCCCTATGCTTTTGTCTAATGTAAGTAGGCTAGAAGTAGGGGAACAGACCTTTCCATGAAGAGAAATCTAATGGCTAGTCGTCTGATAACTCAGTATTTCAGAGAGCCTTATGATACGTTAATAAGATTAGCCCTGTTAAACTTCATTATTTTATTTTTTGATAGTACTAAGGAGTAAACTTCTTTAGATAGAATCTGAGGTGGTTGAGCTTCTAATAATCTCCACTTCTTAATATTATTATTATGAGTCTTATCATATGTATTTAGTACTGTGCAGTTTGATAAACTAATATATAGTTGTTATCATATTGAGATGGCCAATATATATCTTTTACTGTCCTCTTGCAGTAGACTATAAAACTGTATTGTTCGTTATTGTGTCTTGCATGTGTCGTATCATACATGAGGGGGTGAGTATGTCTTTGAGACTCTGCTTTCAGTTCTTTTGTGTGTATAATCCCAGAAGTAGAGATCCAGGGTCATGTGATAGTTTCATTTTTATTTACATTAAGAAACAAAACCAAAGTGTGTTTATTTAATATGCATTGCAAAAGCTCAGCCAGAGACTTAATTTCAAAACCAAAACCAAAACAATACCACAATTCAAGATAGTGTTCTACCCAGAAGTCAAGAAGCGGTCAGACTAAGGAAAAAATAAAAGACACCACAAGGACAGGTTGGACAGCCAGGTCAGGGCTCTAAGCTGGATACTTGCTTTGAGTAGGCTTCCTGCAGCTCTTCTTAAGAACTATGGGTTTTTCTAGAGCTAGGCAGCCTGTGTATTTAAAGGGCTGTCAGTGCAGCCTCTGGGTAGATAGTAGGAAGGTCTTGATGCCTTTCATAAAGGGCAGGCCACTTGTCTCTGAGGATGTGCAGGCAGCTGTTACCCTGGGTATCCACATTGGGGTGGTAGCAGGGAGTGAGGAACTTCACTGTGGGCACCTTGTAAATGTAGCCACTGGGAACTCTAGAGAGAGCTTTTACCTCAGGTCTTATATACTGTACCAGCTGCCCTGTGGATGGTCCCTACCCATTTGAAAAGGTCATCTGTCTGGTTCAGGGAAAGTAGAAGTTCTTCTGTCACCAACATGAAGATCATGAGCTCCTGTTGTAGCCTCTTGGCCACAGGGCCCCAGGCAGTTCCCCACTGGGCTTAGCTCTTTTAGAACCAGAAGCGACACAGGCCGCAGGGTCACAGTTCTAGGAGGCCATCTGGGCTACACTAGCAGGGAAACGGGAATTCAGCTGCAACTGTTTTTTGTTTTGTTTTGTTTTTCAACTTCTTTTGTTTTGTTTTTTTGAGACAGGTTCTTTTGTAGTGTAGGCTGGCTTTGAACTGACTATAATCCAGGCTGGCCTCCAGTTCAAGGCGTTCCTCCTGCCTCTGCCTCCCAAGTGGGAATACAGGCATGTACCACCATGCCTGGCCTATGTTGAATTATCTTTGTATACCAGGTGTCCTTTCAATTGGTGAAGATAACTGGGAGTTAACATATAGCCTATTTGGGAGATTCAGGCTTAAGTACTGGGTTTGTATAACAGTTGATTTTTCATTTGAGAACAGTATAGAAATGGCTAGTATTAAAAGAGGTCAAATCTAAATTAAGTCAAGGTTCATTGGTAATTGGCAAGCATAACTTCTCTTGAAATGACAAAAGCACTATTTTCTAAGGAATGGCGTGAGGCAGAGACCAACCCAGATCACTGTGCCTGTGTAAAGGCAATATGGCATGGAATTTATTCTGCCTGGGTGCAGGCAGACGGTGAAAAGGCTGACTGTAGGGAGCAAAGAGAAGTGAACTTTTTTTTATAGGGCTTTTAAGAGGCAAGGGTCATTAGGTGGGAAGATCTTAGTAAATATCAGTCGTCAAAGGTCTCTGGATGTCTTGTGCCTCTGGGCAAAGTTCTTGAGGCATCCTCTGTGTAAATGTTTGGGTGTCTTCAGATGTCCAGGTGTTCAGAGGATTCTTTGCACCATTTACCTCTTTCGTGATATCCTGTGTTTGCTGAGAGCATAGTGCCTCTGCTGGATGACAGGTTGGGTTTTGGGAGGGGTCACAACTGAATTGAGCCTTACATATCCATGTCCTTTTTTTATCACCAGAGTCATTTCAACTTGTAAATGATCGGTCTTCCATAGCAATTTGAAGGTATTTGGAAGTAGTATAAAAATCAAACTGTGAAAGCATCAGTTAAAACACATCTGTGGTAGTAGCAAAATAATTTTAAAAATCTGCATTATATTTCTGTTTTTTAATATCCCTTTTCTCAAAATTTTCGGCTTTACTTACTCTGTTGCAATTTTAACTCCCAGTGTACTTCTGAGAAAGGTTCTTAGGTTTTCTTTTGTTTTTGTTTTGTTGTTGAGACAGGGTCTCATTGTGTAGTTTAGGCTGGCCGCAAACTCACAGCAGTCCTCTTGCCTCAGCCTCCTGAGTGCTGGGATTACAGGCATGCACTACCATGCCTGTCAGGTTCTTAGATTTTTAATGTTGATATAATCTTGGAGTAAAAATCTCAAGCCATAGACCAGGCTGTTGAATTACAGCCTAGATTTTACAGAAGATTCCCCGAATGATAAATATGCACATCAGAAATTGAAAAGCACTCTAACCATTTTCTGGGATTGTACCTCACTGGATTAAAGGAAAGTTACGGAGTATTAAAGTTAAGGTAATTTACTGATCACACATTAATAGGTGAAAACTGGTTAAATGAACAGGTAGCTTTTTCTATATAAGTATAGAGAAGAAAAAGTACAGAGAAGCAGAAATCAATTTTTTGTAAGTAATCACATTGAACCAAATTTTCCCATAATATAAATGCACCTGAGGTTTATTTTGTTTTGTCTACATTGCTTCTTGAGTAGAGTTTCATTTGCTTAATGTAAACTGAAATTATATCAGAGACACAAATGAAGGGTTTTGTGGAGTTCATAGTCTTAAGAGTATGTGTGGGGTCAGTCTAGAAGATGAAAATTATTTTCATATCATTTTATGATTATTAATGTTACAGAAATTCCATCCCTGCTCAACTTTTCAGATTCTTTAGTGTTACATTTTACCATGGAGAACTATTCGTTTGCAACATTTTTAGAGGGCTTTTTAAAATAAAGTAGGATAATTAACAAAAATAGCAGGAATTACAGGACAGCCTAATAGAGATCTGTCTTAGTTACTTTTCTCTCGTAGCTAAGACAAAATATCTGACGCCCAGAATTAAGGAAGGAAAGGTTTATTTAGCTCACAGTTTGTGGCTGTTTCAGTCCATACTTGGCTGGCTCCAAGGCTGAGTAGCACATGGCAGAGGGCAACAGTTCATAGCTTCAGAAAACAGCAAAAGCAGCAAGAGGAGGGGGGGTGTGGGGGAGGTGGGTGGTTGGAGCAGCTGCTGGAAGAGCAAGCCTCTTTCCCTCTCTTATATTGTATGCAAGTTACCCACCCCAGGGTGGTGTAGCACTCACACCCATAATCCCAGCATTGGACTGTGGATCAATCATAAACTCTAGAAGCCTGCACCCATGAAGGCATGAGGCTTTGGGGGAACATCTAGACACAACCATAGCAGTCTAATATAAATGATACAGTTACTGTTTTCTTCAGAGAGTACACTTCATATTAAAATCAGGTTTATTTTATAATTTTAACTCAATGTAGTTGTAAATTATCTAGATAAGAGAACTAAGTTGTTGCCGGGTATGGTGGTGCATGCCTGCAATCCCAGGAGGTTGAGGCAGGAGGATCACTGAGAGTTGGAGGCCAGCCTGGGCTACAAAGTGAGTTCAAGCCAGTCTTAACTGCATGTGGGGTGGTGGGGAACTAAGTTGTTGTTAATTGTTATATGGGAAAAAAGCGGGCATGCTTTTAAGTTTGTATTGTGTTGAATATATTAATCCCTTCTCATTCTTTCAGATTCATCAGGATTCATTTTTGATTTGCAGTCTAATACTGTACTGGCTCAAGGAGGAGTTTTTGAGAACATGAAAGAGAAGGTAAGACTACAAATACATACAGTTTATGTTGTTACTGTAGATAACAAACTTGTATGTCATAAGAAAATTTAGGAACTGATCAGTAGCTATTACAAACTTGTATGTCATAAGAAAATTTAGGAACTGATCAGTAGCTATTACAAACTCATTATGCCAGGTGGTGCACACCCGTAATCCCAGCACTGCAGGAGGCTGAGGCAGAAAGATCACCGCAAGTTTGAAGCCATCCTGGGCTACATAGCGCGTTCAGAGCAGCCTGGCCTACATAACAAGACCTTGGCTCAAAAAACACAAAATGAAACAAAACAACAAAAACAAAACTTCATAGTGAAAGTGAAATTTTTAGGAACTAGAACAGAATGCCACTGTGTATCAGAGGGTGAGACTACCATAATGGTTCTGAAGAATACTGTAAACATAATTTTCCTTGCATATTGTCATACATATTCATTGTAAATTCTGTTGGAGACATACATTAGTTCATTAATGTCATAACCAGTGTTATTTATAATGACTATATGTCTCATTTGGCAGCATCCTTAAGGAGCAGCTTGGTTCATAGGATCCTCCCAGTCACTTCAAGAGCATTCTTTTTTATTTTGGGAGGTCTTTTAAGACAAGGTCTTGCTGTGTAGTCCAGGTGAGGCTTGAACTTGAACTTACTATGTAGTCCAGGCTGGCCTTAAACTTGCAGTAGTCGTGCTCACCCTCTGCAGTTCTCGGGATTACAGGTATGTGCCACTATGCCCATCTTGAAGAGCATTCTTAAGTCCAGGAGACTTCAGAGCAAGAAAAGCGCATTTTCTCAGTAGCATTTCTTTCAAAGAAAAATAGGTATTTTTTAGTAGTAATGTGTTTTTTTTTTTTTCTTTTTGAGACAGGGTCTCGTTATGCAGTTCAGGCTGACCTTGAGCTCACTTCGTAGCCCAGGCTGGTCTCTAACTCGCAGTGGTCCTCCTGCCTCAGCCTCCCAGGTGCTGGGATTGCAGGCGTGTGCCACCATGCCTGGCCAGCATTACCTCAAGAAGTGGTAGTGCCCTAGTATTCAGGATTCTACTGGGGGTTGTGCAGAAGAACCAATTTTTGTATTTGCTTAAAGTGTTCTAAATAGTTTTAGGCACTAATAATTCAGCAGAGAAATATAGCATTCAGTACAGCCACACATCGTTCCCCAAAGCCACATATTATTATTATTATTATTATTATTATTATTATTATTTTTTTTTTTTTGGTACCAGGAATCGAATTCTGGACCTTGCGCTTGCCAGGCAGACGCTTATGCCACTGAGCTATATCCCCGGCCCAAGCCACACATTATAAACAGTCTTAACTGCCCATCAACAGAGGAAACAATGAGTATGTCATACAGTGGAAATACTTTGCCACTTAAATAAATAAAAAATGTGTTTATCAACATGGAAAAGGCCAGGCATGGTGGCATATGCCTGTAATCCCAGTACTCAGCAGGCTGAGGCAGGAGAAGCAGTGCAAGTTCGAGACCTGAACTACATAGCGAGACCCTGTCTCAAAAAAAAAAAAGAAAAATCAACATGTAAAATATTCTTAAAATGCTATGTCAAGAAAGCAAATTGAAAATAAACATGTATAAGGTAGTACTTATGAAATAATAACATAGATTATAAATATACAGTCATCCTAAAAATACAACACCAAACTTAGAGTAGAAATCTCTAGGGAGCGAAGAAAAGATGTTTTATTAAACTGGTATCACCAGTTATGTGTTCATTTTTTTTTTTTTTTAAGAGTGGCAAAGTTCAAAAACATAGTTGTAAAGTTTCACATTTATTAAAGGTAGGAAAAAAACAGGCTCTGTGGGGCAAGTTTGGGATTAAAGGTAGGAAAAAGAAAAATTTGAAATAGTACACTCTACAGTGTAGGGTGGGCTGCTGTGAAGAGACAAGATGGTGTTCATTGTTCTGTGTGCCTGAAGCAGTTTATAGTAATTCAGGTTATCTCTAAATAATCTTTGTAGAGTTATTATAAAGTGATATGAAGTAAAAATTTTTAGAAGTGATAAATAAAAATCTAAGTTGTTTTAGTTGGTGTTTCATTAAACGTTCCACCCTTTCCTATGGCATGCTTAAAGTGAGGAAATATTGTGCTAAATTAGTACCTGGTACCTAAATTATACCACCCTTTTTTGATGTGAAGTCTAGTACGTATCTTCTGTTTCTACAAATGTTCTGCCATCCTAAGTTTTGAAATTAATTTTTGATGTGCTAATATCACTCATCTATTTTTATTTCCAGTGAGATGGCTGTATATACTCTAACACTGAAGAAAAATATTAAAAATGAAAATGTCTATTTTTGTTATTCTTTGTACTACACCTCATCTCCCTAGTGACCTACTGATGTTAGAATTAAATGACCCTGTCATCTTTTCTAGATAAATGCAGTACGGGCAATAGTTCCCAATAAAAGCAACAATGAAATCATCCTGGTTTTGCAGCACTTTGATAATTGTGTGGACAAAACAGTACAAGCATTCATGGAAGGTAATCTTAGCTCATTTTTTAAGAAGTTTGTTTTTGTTCAATAGATGTTACTTTGGCCTTTCAGAACACTCAGTAGCGTTCTGAAATCAGCAGCGTTTTACAGATGATATAGCAGACCCTATGATAAATAACAGAACATACTTTGATGTTTTGTTAATTTTTTTTTGGCCTAGAAGCAATTCGTTCATAAACTATGTGATACCGGGAATAAGAAACAAACTAAGAAAACTCTGTTATTTAACACAAAATATTCTCTACTGCTATTTAAGGAGAAAGCATGTGTCCAATGTAATTGCAGTTGAGTTGAATAAAAATGTAAGTGACTCTTTATAACAAAGGAGTGATTTGGTGCCCCAGCAGCAGATGGCAAATTGAAGAACTCAACATTCTTTTCTAAGCTCTATTATAATTTCGTTTGGCTCTGGCAAGTGACTCAAATGTTTAAGTTTTGTATGTTCATGTAGAAGAAAGATAGGCTTAGTCAAGGTTTCACATTCATAGACCTGAGGAGTGGACCTTTTTCCTTATAACTTGTTTGAAAAAAACATACTTGAAGTTTTTTGGTCATTGAATGGAGATGTCCTTAAGTCTCCATTTTTAATTTCCAGAATTTGCAAATACAGGATAAACAGGTCTAAATAGTTTTTTTTTTTTTTTTTTCCTGATACCGGGAATCGAACTCATGACCTTGCGCTTGCCAGCCAGGCGCTGTGCTGCTGAGCTAAATCCCCAGCCCCAAATATATGTGGTACAGCACAAGGGTTTTCCTTTCTTTCCTTTTTTTTTTTTTGTGGTGGTTCCAGGAATTGAACTCATGACCTCATGCTTACAAGGCAAGTGCTGTGCCACTGAGCTATATTCCCAGTCCCTAAATAGTTTTTTAAATCTATATTTTTAAAGAACTTTTAATTTTTTAAAAGCAGGTCTAAATACTATAAGGTTTTTCTTTACTTTCATCTGTTTTCTATAAATTATTATGAGTTTGCTGGAGTGTGCAGCTATTTCCAAATTAGTATAGCCAGGGTGGTGTGGAACTTGGAGGAAAGTGGGTGGCACACTTGAGCGGAAGCCAGTTGTCTTTGTATTTGGACTACAGTGTAAATAATCATCAGAATGACCAGGCTACATTAGTCTCTTCTTGGAAGAACTCACTGGGGTAATTACATGGAGAAGGGCGATTTAAATAGGCAAGTATTCCAAAATGGAAGCACAACATGATTATCTCATTACATTACTTTAGAGACTTGATTCCTAAATTTCCTTATTCGAAACTTTGGAAATTCTCAGGCAGTTATAAAAAGCAGGGCCATTAATTCCTGCTTGATGGTGGTCAGGGAGAAAACCTGTGATTGGTTTCTTTTACAGGTAGTGCCAGTGAAGTACTCAAAGAATGGACAGTAACAGGCAAAAAAAAGGTAAAAATGAATTAAATTTAAGAGCATGATATTGATGTTCATACTAATTTTTAAAATGTAGGCTTTACAAAAAAAATTGAAAGAAAAAGTTTACATAAATATCTTCAGCTGCCAGTGTGTCTTAGCCAGGGAGGTTTATCCAAGATGTGATTATTGCTAATAAGTGTCTTCAGTTCATTTGGCTAAAATGTCCCCTTTGACATGGAAATGCAGCTAGTACTGAGTACCACCCAGTCTCTTCCCTGTGGTTGAAAGCAGGAAACAGTAACTCTGTGCTGAGAGGATGGTGGATCGGGGTTGAAATGAAACAGCATGTGGAGAGGAATGCAGAGCTGCTCCAGTGAAAGTGATCAGGTTTTCAACAATATTCACATTATAGATCAGGTAAAATACTCAGATTTTTAAGTTAGACAACTGTGTTATGATCCCTAATATCAATGAACTTTGACTTAAAGTTTAAAGAGAGCTTTTGCTACTGGAGCTATTAAGTACAACTGCAGAGGGGTCTGGTACTGTAGTTGAGGAAAGTAGAAGGCACTTGGGTTGGAGAGGGTCAGAACTGGATTTCTATCTTGTTCCACTATATAAGGGCTTTGTAACCTGGAGTATTGTTTAACCTTGGTGTGCCTTGGTGTACTCATCTCTAAAATAGAAAAATAATACTTATACATACAAGTATTTAACGTAATGCCTAATACATAGTTCTTGGTCCTTTCTCCTTTATCCACTTAACACCAAGATGTGGGCCAGATGTGGTGGCTCTTGCCTGTAATCCTGGGAGGCTGAGGCAGGATGATAGTTACGACTTTGAGGCCAGTGAGTTCAAGGCCAACCTGAATTACATAGTGAGAACCTGTCTCAAAAACAAACGAGAAACCTGCAAGATGTTTTCCCAAGGGATACTAGCTGGTCTTAGTATTCTTTCCACAGCTCTGTACCCTAAATGAAGGCCCATTAAGAAACGCTTAAAGTATGGATTTTAGTCACGTATCTCTATGAAACCTGTTTAGGGTATTATTTTCCTGCATTAGTTGAGTGCTGGGCTCCTGAAATGCTTTCTTGATGACTAAATCACTTCATTAGGTTTGGCATGGTGGCTCACACCTGTAATCCCAGCGCTCTGCAGGCTGAGGCAGGAGGTTCATTGCAAGTTCAAGGCCAGCCTGGACTACAAAGTGAGTTCAAGGCCATCCTGAACTGCATAGTGAAACCCAGTCTCAAAAAGACCCCTCTCTCCCGCCAGTAAAAGAATCACTTCATTAGCAGTTCTGTCAGGGTTTCATCATGGCCTTAGTGACCCTTGAGAATTTTCCAAGAGATACTTAATACCCTGAGCTTGTCCTGAAGCTGTTTATACTTAGAGCTTTGCGTATTTCTGTAACTTACCATTGCTTTCAACAAACATAGTTAGCTGTGAGTGTTCTGGAAAACATGAGTGTCTTAATTTATTGCCCCAGGATGATAACTCATTAGTGCCAGTTCACATGGATGAAAGTAATTAAGAGCAAGGTGAGATTGTATCTCAAGTTCACATACTCCTGCTAGATGGAGCCCACTGAAAATACTTGGGGAGGGGAAATTTAGTTATACCTATCTAGCCTTGGGAGTAGGATTAAGTATTGCTAATAGAGCTGTGAGTTGACAAAACAAAAGGTAAAGACCTTGTTGTTTGCTTTAATTTTATTATTCTTGCTGGGCGTGGTGGCACATCCCTGTAATCCCAACACTCAGGAGGCTGAGGCAGGAGGATCGGTGTGAGTTGGAGGCTAGCCTGAGCTGCATAGTGAGTTTATAGTGAGACCCTTCTCAAAACAAACATTTTACTATTTTCGTAGGTAATATATTCATGTGGCCCAAAAGTCAAAGGTGCAAAATTTAATGCACTGAAACACCTTTATCCTATTTGTATTCTATAGCTATTTGGTTCCCTCCCCCAAAGTCTAACAGGGTTACAATTTTTTTAATGTATCTTTTTTTTTATGCACATAAGCATATTCTTTTCTCATATAATATACCGAACTCACTTCATATTTCAGTATACAGCATAATGAACGTCTTTGGTATTGTGGACACGTGGTCATCTTGCTGTTTGGATGCACCCTAACTTACGTAACCGGTTCCCTACTGGTCAAGCCTTGGGGTGCTTCCAGTGCTCTGCTTCCAGTCCTTTACTAAAAGGCTTTTAGTAACAATACTGCAATAGGCAACCTGATATAATGTATAATTGTAAACATGCTAGCCTTGCTTAGGATAAATTTTTAGAAGTAAAATTGCAGGCCAAAAGGTCTGTGCATTTACAATTCTGATAACTATTACTAGATTGCCACCCCTGCTAGTGATACATGAAAATTCTCTGTTGTACTCTCAACTCTACAGGGTTGCTATACCTTTTTACTTTTGCTAATTTAATAGATGAAAAATGATATTGCAGCATAGTTTTAATAGGTAGGCCTCTTAGATGGGCTTATGCTTCATTCCATATGTTTACAGCTTATATAATTTCTTTTATGTTATTTTGGGTTTTTTTAGAGCTCTGTGTATAACTTTTTTTTTAATATAAGCTACACTTTTTTTTTCATATTTTGTAATTTATCTTTTCATTTTGCTAAGGTAGGTCTTACCATAAAGAAATGTTGTGTGTTTATTTATATTATGAGCTTATCCAAAGCATAGGGTTTTACATAGTAAAATTTTATTTTAGGCAGTGTTTCAACATATACCAAAATATGTTCAGTCTCTGGAAAGAACCTGAGAAATAGGTAGCATTTATTGATTGCCTTTGGGTAGCTAGAGGTACTTATCTCTGAGTTGTGTTGTGGGAGGGTCTGCTTTTTCTTTTCTTCTTTTCAAATCTTCAATAACTTCAGAACAAAAAGAAGAAAAGCAAACCAAAACCTGCAGCAGAAACAAGAATCGGTACCCCAGATTCCAGCCAATCGGTTTCCGTTCAAGAAGAGCAGCCTGTGCCTTCCTCAGAGAAAGGTGGCGTGAATGGCTACCATGCCAGTGGTGCCGTCAACGATGGTGGCATGAATGGGTACCATGCCAGTGGTGCCACCAACGATGCCGAGTCTGTGGACTCGCTCAGCGAAGGTTTGGAGACACTCTCAGTGGAGGCCCGAGAATTGGAAGGTCCTGAGTCGGCCGCACCAGATACACTGGGTAGAACAAGTAAGTTTATTTTCAGGTTTTTCAAAAGTTGCATTCAGTTGAAAAATACAAGAACTTCCTTGTTGAGGAAGCAATCAGTAAATTAAATGCAATTGGTCTGTTACAAGTCTTTGTAATCTTTTGTGTAGAAGACCAGCAGTTTATACTTACCAAAGGCCTAGAAAAATAAAATTCTTGTTCCCCTGTCTCATATTTGAACTCTAATCATTAAAATTTTTCTATCCTAATAGAGGAGTAGCTTAGGGTTTAAAAAAAAACAGACTTTATCTTTTCTACTTATGTAGGAAGATGATGAAGATCAGATAATCTTGTTTTCTAGTCAAGAGTTAAGATCCATAATAGTTGTAAATTCACATAGCTAGTACATTTTTGTCAACCACTTTGTTGTGTTGGGAAGATACTGGAAATATATCTCTTTGAAAATTATTTATTTGTTAATCCAACTTTCCCTGCTTTATAGTTCTTAGCTTTATAAATGCAGAGTTACTATAAGAATTATGCTATGCTTTGTAGAATTTCTTTTATTAATTCAGACAGACAGACAGACACACACACACACACACACACACACACACACACACACACATTCTTTCCCTAGAGAAAAAGTATTGTGCCTACACAGACCCCAAAGATAGACAGTGGCTTTCATGTTTTTTTCCTGGGCTAATCTTATTTTTGAACTCTGCCCCTTTCTGTGCTCCCTAAAACTTTTTGAAATTCTTCTTGAGACAATATAAAATTCTCTTTCCTCAGTGTAATTTCCAGAAACTAGCTGAAGTTGGTGATACTGCCTCTCCACCTATGGAGCTGCAGTGTTATTTCCTATCTAACTAGGTTGGCTACAGCTGCTTTTCTTCATGCCCAGTGCCTCCTAGGAGTAAGCCACAAGCTACTGATAGTCACACTGAGCTGATTCTGATCTTTGTTCTATTTTGTCAGTTGATTTTGCTCCCAAATTTTGAAGAGTCATGAATTTGCCTAAAAGGTTTTTGCTTGCTTACTTTGTGTACTTAAGACTGCTTGACTGATTTAATCCTACATTATGCTCTAAAGCTGTGGCTCTTGTTGGACAGGATCTGTGCTGGAGAATGGTGTCTCTGACTTTGAGCCCAAGTCTTTGACTACCTACTCTGTTCAGAATGTTCAGAACTCCAGGAATGCTGCCAAGTCTCTGTCAAGATCCACCTCAGGACCTCACTTTTCAAATCTGGGAATGGAGGATGTCCCACTCTCGTCTACTAATAAAAAATTAGGTAATGCAAGGTCCCACCCATGAGCGAAGGAAAAGTCCAGTTCTGGCTATCCCTTAGATAAGGTTTCAAAAGGGCATCAAGTAATACTTTACCTGTTTACCAGACTGTAATTCTGCAACATGTTCTACCTCCATGTATACAGCTGAAGTGTAAGTGTGGTTCAGATGTTATACCATCTTGTTAGAAGGACAGGGCCTTCCTTATGACTTAAAGGCAAACTTAACTGCCATGATGACTTAGCTAATGTTAACCTGTTTTCTTTGTTTGCTTTGCTGCAACGTTCTTTGTTTGCTTTGGTGCAACATTTTTGTGCTATTTCCTTCATTTTTTTTTTTTTTTTTTTTTTAAATTTTAAAGAGTAAGAGAAGGATAACAATAATGGGGGGGGGGTTACCAAATTACAAAGTGGTAGGAAATTATCAATGGTTATTGTTTTACATATTGTTATCTACAAGATAGTTTCTCAGGAAAGCAAATAGACAAATAATAGTGAGTTACAAACAAAAGAGGTAGGACATTATCAATAGTTGTTGTACTCTACTTAGGTATCTTTGAAAGAAAATAAATAGTACTATACATGAGTGACCTATTGAATAATCATTAACTATTCTCAATGGTTGTTGTAGGAAACACATAATAATAAACATGCATCCACTTATGAAATAGGATAGGAACAATACAAACATTGCAGGGTTATGGATAGATTAGTAGGAAAATATCAATGACTGCTGTAATACATGGTGGTATCTTCAAAGTGGTTTCTCAGGAAGACAGAGATACGCAAGAAGGATCTAACAAGAAGTTACAGCCTAAGGGTTGTCAAAAATCAAGTGAGCCGTCTGGGGCCAAAGCCATTTTTTGTAGCGTTTTCTCTCCAGCCTCCCATCGCATTGGGACCCCACAACCAGTTAGTGTCCTCTCCCCAACTGTCAGCACAGGCAGCAGGAATCCTGCTGCAGACTTCTCCGGAGCTCCACCACAGCCTGTACTGTCAGGGGAGGAATGGCTTCCAGGGAGTCTCCGCAGGTCCTGTGCAAGGTCCTCCTGGTTTACAGCTTCCGAGCGGCTCTCATGACCCCAGTCCACGGGACCTCTGACCCCTTGGGCTTAGTCTGCATTCTCATGTTCTCCGAGTGCTTGTTCAGCAGCTGCTCCTCTGCTGACTCTGGACCTTTCTGGTTCTCAATGGCAGGAGCAAGAGTGACCCGTTGCATAGCATGTATTCCCAGGGATTTTTCCATGTTTGAATGGTTCACACACGTCCTTAGGTGGGCATCTGTGGCCAGTGCATGGTGGGCCAATTGTGTCATTGTTTCACTGTGTCATGATAGTTCTCAATTGAGCAGCTGTGGCCGGCTTGAAGGCCGGCGCGCCACGGTGCTCTCCTGGTTTACTCAACAAATGGAGGATCTTTACCTCTGACGTAATACTCCAGAGAAGTATTTTCACTGCACTTCACCACTTCATGTTCTTATTGATAGCTGACTGACTCTTAACTTCTAACAAGATAATTTTGTTAGCATTGACTAGTGGTAGCTCTCTGCTTTTTTAACTGGTGTAGTCATTTAAATAACAGCCAGTAGTTAGAGGTAATACCCCCTCTGAGTTTTGTACATCTAAGCACGGTGGTCCACTAAAGTAAACAGATGAACCAGAGAAATGGAAAGGACACTTGTAACCTCTACCTCCTTACTGAATTGTTCATGCCACATGAGTTAAATTGTAATTATTGAAGTTGTTTTTTATCTTTTACTAGTCCTTAGCTTGATGCAGAACAGCAAGTCTGAGACTATCCATTCAAGCAGAAGTAAAAGATATGTAGGCATGAGGCTTTAAAGGTTTTAGGTACATTGCAAATGAAATCAAGTGGGAATGAAGAAGAGTTTAAAAGGTGAAGCTGGGCATGATGTCATGAGTGTTAGTCCCAAGCTACTTGGAAGACCGAAGTAGGAGCACTGCTTGAGCCCTGGAGTTTTGGTGCAGCCTGGCAAATACAGTGAGACCCCATCTCTAAAAATTCAGTAAGAAGTTGAAAATGTTTATCTTAGCACAATCATAAACTTCTTAGATTCATGATTCTAACAATCAGCCGAGTGTATAACTTCGGCATTAGTGAGTAGAAAGTTAGCAGACTACTGGTAACTGATTAAAATAAGTATTGTGGTGTGTTTCCTTTTTCTACAAAGCTGCAAAGATGACTTCCCTACATAGACTGTCTCAGAGTGCACAATAGAAAGATAGCTATTTAATTGCCGGGCGTGGTGGCGCACGCCTGTAATCCCAGCACTGGGAAGGCTGAGGCAGGAGGATCCTTGCGAGGGAGGCCAGCCTATGCTACAAAGTGAGCTCAAGGTCAGCCTGAACTGCATAGCGACACCCTGTCTCAAAAAAACAAAAAAGAATGATAGCCGTTTAATTTTGTAATGTCCATACAGTGAATTACTCTGTTAAATCCTGTCATTTGGTTTTTTCCCTTCTGTTTTATTTTGAACAGTTCCTAAAATTGCTTTATTCAGATTTGTTAATCTTTTTTTATTTTTTTAACAATTTTTGGTCTGCTGTTCATTGCATCTGGTTTACTTTTCATTGCAGACATTATTTTTTAATCTCTAGGTATTCAGCTGAGAATTTTAAAAATACCTTTCATGTTTCTACCTAACATGCTTCTGTTTTCCTCTATGTTGAGTATATGGTATCTGATTATAATAACTGTTTAATGTCTTTCTTCTTCCTTTTATCATCTGTCATTTTTGCATCCAGTTCTGTTTATTTTTCTCTTCATTATGGGCAATGTTTTCTGCCTATTTGTTGGTGTTTCATTTTGAGACAGGGTCTTGCTATATAGTTTAGACTGACCTTGAACTCATAGCAACCTTCCTGCCTGAGCCTCCTAAGTGCTGGCATTCCAGGTATGAGCCACCACGCCTGGCATTTGTTTCTGTTTTTGCAGAGGGCGGGGGAAGTACTGCACTCTGTCCGTTCCCTGAAAACCAGTGTTTCATATATCTTACCTGTGTGTATATATTAATTGTTTAAGAAAAGAGGATAAATTCTACTCTTGTTGCTTCACCTTGACCAGGATAGGTTTTTGTTTTTGATTTTGTTTTCTGTGATACCAAGGGTTGAACACAGGGCTTTCACATTGAGCTACATCTCCAGCCCTTTCTGTGTTTTTATTTTGAGAAAGGGTCTCACTAAGGTATGTTTCCCTGGCTAAGCTCAGACTTGTGATCCTTGTACTGTAGCCTCCCAGAGTGCTGTAATTGTGGGCATATACTGCACACCACACCTGGCTCAGGCTACTTTTTTTTTAAATCTATGAAAAATAAATTTTTTGGTTGGGGAGGGTGATTATTTAGGACACATTCTTAGACCACGTGTTATTTGTCTTAGGTGTTCAGATCCAGCTTGTAATTACATATGTTCCTTCATTTAATAATCTTAGGGTTTTCCTTCCCAGGTTCCAATATTGAAAAATCTGTAAAAGACCTTCAGCGCTGCACAGTGTCTCTTGCACGGTATCGAGTTGTAGTTAAAGAAGAGATGGATGCTTCCATTAAGAAAATGAAGCAGGCTTTTGCTGAATTGCAGAGTTGGTAAGTTGCTTTTGGTATAAAATGATTGTTTATGAAGATAGCCATTCACCAGATCCTTGAATTTCCAACTTCTAACTACTGTACATAATGGGATTTATTCCAACTCCTAATAACTGTACATAATTTAAAACCCTCTGATACATTTATCATTCTGCTTAATTATTTTGGTTACAGTGTGGTAATGAGTGGTACAGAGCACTCACAGCACAGTGGAAATTGGCCTGAGGTTAATATTGTTTGGAAAGGGACAAATAATTGGAGTACATAGCATCCACTTATGTCAGGATTTTAAACTCAGAGTGTGACAAATGATGTTTGAACAAAAATTATAAAATAGAGACCTGTTTTTCATTTATTAAGTCCTTTGTACTTCTTACTGAATTTTATCCCAGTGACCTCTTCTGTGCCTTATTGTTAATCATTGATTTGCTTTAATATTTGTGTGTTTCAAATTGTGTTCTGTAACATACTCATTTCTCTAAATATGTTAATATGTCTCCTTTGGGGGAAACCAGTTTAGTAGTTGAAGAGGTTGTTTGAAAATATTTTTTTTAAAGAGCAGGAAGAATTTATTGAGAGAAAAAAAGCTTCTGTTTGAGAGAGACAGAAGCGTGCCCAGAAAGCGGGTTGCCCACCAAACCCACTTCTCAAGGGTGTTCTATTGAGCAAAGCTATGAGGTCAGGTGGGCTTATGGTAGGACAAAATTATAATCAATAAGATTACAAGTATAGTCGCGTAATATTGATCCACTGGCAAATCATAGGATGGATGTGAAGTGGACAAAACTATGGTCAACCAATAAGTAGACAACAAAGTATATCCTAGCAACAAGTATAGTTGCTAGGATAATATTTATTATTATTATTTTATTTTATTTTATTTTTTTGGTTTTTCTCTGGTACCGGGAGTCAAACTCACAACCTCATGCTTGCCAGGCAGGTGCTGTGCCGCTGAGTTAAATCCCCAGCGCATAGGGTAATATTTATTAAATGGGGATCAAATGCAGAAACAAGTTACATAGGAAGCACACATGGGACGGACAAGGACTTTCCTGGAAGGAGTGGGTTAAGGTTTGGTCCTCCACCCCCAGGATTGATGCGTGCTTAGAATATTGATCACTGCTATTCATCCCTAGGGGAAGTATGTGAGTGAGTACTTTTTCTTGAAGCCTGGCCATCAGTGAATATGCCTCCAGCCACAATTGTCTTCTCCATTGAGCTCTTGAGGACTCAGCCCTGTCTGACTGCCTACAATATTTCTGCCTAACTTAGCTATCTATAATATTCTCCTCTGAAGAAGTACCCCTAACTGCCATGAGGGGGCAAGGGTCGAAGACTGAGCTGGCTACTTCCAGCTGAAGAGAGTCGTAGTTGTGATTGGCAGTCAGATACTCCACAGAGGGTCTGTCTGAAGGCCCTTGATAGATGGCAGGTGTTCTTGTCTTGGGTGGATATACAGCTTTAAGACTGGAGGAGATAAGGCCACACAAAGAAACAGTTAAGTAAGCATGGGCCAAATAATAAAAGCAACAGGATAATTATGAATATAGCCAGCAAGGTATAGCTTTCCATAAAGAGGATAAGGAGAAGGTCCAGGGAATTTCAGAATCTGACATGTCATTAACCTGTCATCTACTGTCTTGAACAGCTATTGAGACATGAGCAGAAGGATCATGAATGTACACGCAACATTTAGCTTTTATAATTGTACAAGTATTCCCTTGTGCTACTGTTAGAATGTCTAATGCCATCCAATTTTGGAGGATGGCTTGCCTCATTAATTTTACTTCTTCATTCAGGAGAGAGAGACCAGCAGACACCCAATAAGTATAGTTAGTTAAGGCCTTGATGTGTTGCATGACATCCTCTAACCCTAGGGAAGGAATAAAGATAGAAGCCAAATGATCATACCAGTGAAACACACTTGTAGACCATCAGTGCCATAGGCAGGCTGGTTTGCAGGTTTGTCAGTCCTTTTGACACTTCCGCCTTGTATCCATGCAAATCCTACCATACATCTTCCTATCCATCCAAGGGGTAGCCAGGGCCACAGCTTGGTTCTACAGGACCAATGAGTGCCATTGGAGGCTTCCCATCTAATTCCAGGGCAATTAAGCCAATTTGTTGCAAACCAGTCTTCAGCCTGTGAATTTATTGTATGTATACATTGTTTAGGGGGTGTCCATCCCAAGTATTTAGTAGAGTTATTCTCCAATGAGAACAGGAGTGATTCTTCTGTTTCAGATGTCCTATGGTGGGGGTTAACCAGAGATAATCATCCCATATCTGAAAATAGCCATCTTTGTATCTATGCTTGTTGGACCTCAGGATAGGACCCTTACTTTTTGTGTTGGTTTGGGGCTTATTTTTGCAAGGGAACACAATATAATACAGGACACATATTTTATATGATTATTTATAATAGTCACCCAAAGAACAATATACAAGAGAGTGCAGGAAATCTGTACACACACTAAGACCAAGGAATCCAACTGAGGGCCTGGATCCCACGGAAATGTCCTGCATGAGTCCAGCTGAAGACCTAGAGCTCATAACATTGCCTCCTACAAGTCCAGCTGGAGGCCTAGAGCCCATAACAATATCGCATGCAGGCCTGTTTCACAGATCTGTGCTCCAAAGGCCCAAAGGTCAGTGGTGGAATCTACAAAGTCTGTGCCAGCGGGATGAAGGATCTGTGTTAGCAGGCTGAGGGATCTGCACTGGAGCCAGGAAGCAATGCTCAGAAGAACCAGAGCTCCCCTGAAAGGTACCACAGCCATCCTCAGCAACAGTGAGGTCCCGAGCTCCTCCAGTGATCGGGATGGCCGAGTTCCCATCAGTGAAGCCAACGCAGCAAGCTTCTCTAGGAGACTTGCAGTGCACCATCTTCCCCTCTGGAGCCAGGAAGTGATGCTCAAAGTGAGGACCAGAGCTCCCCCAAAGTGAATTGAAGCTGTTCTCAGTGCCAACAAGGTCGCGAGCTCCTCAAGAGGATGAAAACAGCCAACTTCCATCAGGAAAGGCAGCATGACAAGCTCCTCCAACAGAACCAACAGCTCCTTACAGCTTCTACAAGCTCCAACAGCCTTTCTCCACTCCAAAGAGCCTTTCTCCACTCCTTTTTCTGCTCCCAAAAGCCCCTTTCTCCTTCTCCAGTTCTGCCTCTTATGCTGCTGGCAGCAATCCCCAGGTGGGCCTCCCACACCCAGCACCATGCTTACTCAGTTCAGCTGGGAGTTACAAGTTGACCACCAGTTATCAATCCACTGCAGTTCACTCCTGGTCAACTTGATAACCATACACATTTCCTTAATCCATGGTCTCTAGTGGCAGATTTGTGAAAAGTTAACATGTCTTAGTCTATTCACATTTATATTACTGTAACAGTTACATATATACAATTCTCTTTCTTTTTTTTTTTGCACTCATTCCTGCACTAGAAATAAAATATTCAAAGGGTGACCACTATTCAAGGTTAAAAGAAAATACTTGGATTAATTAACCAGATTACAAACATATCTAAGAACAACGTAGAAACATATTAAAAGAACTATTACAATCACAGTCCTTCCCATTAATTTTTTACAATGCATGGTAAGACTGAAAAACAGGGATCTCCTGCAATTCATATACGCTTTTATCTTCAGGTTAAAGGCTTCAGTTCATTTTTACAATGTCCTGTTCTTAACACCCATGTTTTCCTCTGTTTAATCCTTGCAATGTAGAGCTCCCCTCTGGCCAAATACTTCATATCATTCTACTACTGGCTCTTTACTCTTGACTTCAAACATAGATCTGGCCAAAAGCTCTCAACAGTAACCACGCCACAATCCCAACAGTAGACCACATTGAAATTTTGTTTCTCCAACCAGGCAGTATCTCCAAACACAAGCGAAACGCAGACCAACTTCTGCCAAAGCACAACATACCACCTGGGATCCAGCAGCCAATGCAGTCCTTCTCAATTGAAGCCTCCTGAGCTTCATCTCAACCAGTAGCATTTCCATCAGTTCTCTGATTTTCCAGGCTCTAACCAGAGTTTCCAGTATAGTTTGCAGCATACAAGGGCTGCCTCTTTTCTTCTTTTTTTTTTTTTTTGGTCTTTTCTTCCAGTACCAGGAATTGAACTCACGACCTTGTGCTTGCCAGGTAGGCGCTTTGCTGCTGAGCTAAATCCCTAGCCCCTTCTTGTTTTTTCTTTTTTTCTTTTTTTTCTGAAGGGCTGCCTATTTGGCCAGTCTCTCAAAACTTTTCCACATTAGTTCCATAGGCTCTTAAGTCACATGGCCAGGCAACGTTATAGTAATAACCCCACTTCCCCAGTACCAATTTTGTGCATCAGTCAGGGTTTTACTAGAGAAACAGATATAATACAAGATGTACAAATGTCTAAGAAATTATAAGATTGGCTTACGATGGTCAGCCAGAGAGTTGTATGAGGAAGTGTGCAGAGGGTATCTGCACACTGAAGACTGAAGGAATCAGCCCAGGGTCTGGAGTTCACTGCAGAGTTCCATGCAAGTCCATACCAGGAGGCTGATGAGTCTGCAATGGACAGCTGAAGGATCCAAGGTGGAAGCCGAAGAGTGCACTAGAAGCCAGGAGACGAAGTCCAAGCTGAAGGTGGAGAATGGAGCTTCTCCAAAAGGAATGGAAGTTCCTCTGTCCTTCCTCACTTCTCTTTTATATCATCTGGGTGATCCTCCCTAGGGTGGCTCCTGTACACCCTAGGCTCTAGAATTGCTGAGCCAATTGCTGAGCCAAATGTAGTTAAGCTTCTAAACTTTTCAGTTTGACATAATCAATCAAGCACTACACTTATTTAATAGGGGTCCTAACAGAGCCTTTAAAGAGGCTTTAGTGGCATTGTTAGAAAAAAATTCTATTATGTCCAGGATCATTAAGATTATAGTTTATAGGCATTCCGCTACCGTGTAGTGGTGGGTTAAAGTATGAATCACTGAACTCTTGTAGTTTATTCCAATTATCTCCTTGGAGCA